GTGGTCGTCGTCGTCCTCATGGCGATGGTCATGGTTGTGGTCATGCTTGATTATGGTCGATGGCTATGTTCTGGCTATGGTTATGCTTACGAAAATTGACTACTACATGTTGGGCAGAAGCCGGCGTACTTGCGCCACGGATGCCCAAGCCACTGAGACATTGCCCCTGCATTTTTGTTCTCCGTGGAAAAACGCGAGCCTAGGTCAAAGCAACCCGCCGAGATAAGCCAAAAAGAGACTCTCAGCGGCAGTTGTTCTCGCCGTTGTGCAGGTTGAAAGTGCAGCACAGGATGGAGACAGACCAGCCGGCGGAATGGCCGCATTTCAGGCCGAGGGGATCTGCAATCCAGTCCGGGAGTGGGCAGGCCTTGTCGTGCGGTGTCTCGGCGATGCCGCACGCAAGCAAGGCCACGTTGATGCCGAGTTTGCAGCCACTGGAGCTGCTGCAGCCTAGACTGCCACTCATGCCCGCGCCGGCCCACCACCAGTCCGTGGTACTCCCGACCGCGAAGCCGGTGCTTACGCTGATCCAAGCTGAAGGAATGTAGCCCTTTAGGAGGTCGGCCAAAGGTTCAGTTGCCCCCGCACTGAGGCCTATGTTCCAGGCCACGTTTGTGCCGATACTCCTGCTGTAGCCCGTGTTGATGAAGCGAGAAGTGGCCCCGACGCATTTCAATGCTTCCACAATGACTTCGACCACCTTGACCACGGCTTCTACCAGCTTCTTCCACCACCTTCTTCTTCCTGAGACAGCAAGGCAGGGAGTGGCCATAGTGGACCCAAAGCTTCGCAGCATCATGGAAGCTTGCTTGCACGAAACTATGTTTGTGCGGCAAATGTCGAGCATCGGCAAAAGTAGCTAACACATAGCTGGAAAGCCCCAATCCTCAAAGTGGTTCACAGAATTTGGAAACTACTGAAGCTTCCATGTGATTTTCCATTGTAATCATGGTAAGTCAAATGGAAACGACTATAGTTTCAAAGAGCGTACGTGCTGCCGAGGGCACTTCGACTTCGTCTTCGTCGACGGCGGCGCCGCCTCCGCCGACCCCAGCCGCTTTTTGCACCTCGTCAGACCAAAGATATGCATGTATATATATATATACATACATACACATGTGTGTGTAACTAGGGATTTCTTATTTACCTATGTTTCTATTCTGAAGGGTTACATGTGACGTGACGAATGGTTTGGGGTTTCAGGTCGTTGTAGGTTTTTCCTACACGGCCTAGCGGGTGGGCAAGTTTGGTGCTCCACACTTTCTCGACTCCGGGGTTTGGCAGATAGCCGAAAGTTGGGGCATGAGCCCAAAAAGCTTAAACCCCTCTCAGGTTTTCAGGGTTTAGGTAGGGTTCAAGGTTTAAAGTTTAAGTGTACAGGGAGCTGGTCGAGTGATCTTGATATTGATGACTCCTGCCACAGCAACCTGGAGGGGATGAACAGAACACAACAGGGGATGACTTTTCTAAGAGAACGTACACTTTGCTGTAGACGCACATGTTCCTGAAAAGGCAAGGGCTCTTTACAGGCATTTAAGTGGCTCCGGGATTAAAGAAGAATATCGAAAGTCCTAGTCACCTAGTCACTCTTCGTTTCGTACTAGTACTGAACATGTCTGCGGCGGCCTTCACTGTCCTCTTCTTCCATCAGGGTCATGGCCGTGCTGTTTCCGAGGGCAGGAGGCGATTTCTTGCCTGCTGGCAAAGTCTCCACCTGGTCGCCGTCCTCGTCCTCGTTCTCCGCCTCGACGTCATCCAGCATGTCGTGGTCCGCAATCTCGCGGTCTGGGATCTCGTCGTCCCCCTCCTCCCAGCCCTCCACGTCATGCTGGTCGTCGATCTCTGATGCTTCATCCTCGTGAGGAGGACTCACACCAGATGGGCCTTCGGCCATCTTGTCCGCCAGCTTCTGCCTGTCCACCAAGCGCACGGCGCGCTCCTAGAAATTTCGCGCACAGAACCACAATCTGTCATAACCTGTCCACCCGGGTCCTCCGGCAAGGACTGCACGAAAGGAACCACGAACTTCATCAATGCTTCCTCCATTGGGACTCTGAGAGACAAGAAATTCCCTGCGCTCGCGGTACCCTGCTGGTCCTTGCTCCGCGCATGGTAGTCCCTCATGACCGACTCCGAGGACGGCTGCTCCTCGATCCAGGAATCTTTGCAGTGTAGCTGAGATTGCAGCTCAAAGCTCGAAGACTAAACAGTCACATCTCCCTCTCTCTCTCTCTCTCTCTCTCTCTCGCTCTCTCTTTTTTATATCTATATATACATAGTATACATAAATGTTGTTTTTTTTCAGGGCTAGGATGAGGTTGAAGGTCTGGGGAGCTCAGGGGCCCCAGAGGCGAGGCTCCTGGCCGAAGCGCGCGTACTTCTGCACGAAGCTGAAGTCGTGATGGTGCGTGGAGATGAACCTGTGAGGGCAGGGCCACTCCGACTCCAAATTACCAAAAAATACGAAATACGAACAAAAAAGAAAAGAGCACATTGTGTAGAAGCCTGAATAAGTAGCAATATTATGGTTCAGAGTTCCGAATAAAATTACACCATATACCCCCAAAGCGCTATTCTAATTATTAAGGCTTCTATATAGTATGCTCGCCTCTGGACGCGGTGCTGCAAGAGGAAGCGGTGGCGGATGTCAGAGTGCAACAGCCCCACCTGCAGCCGTGGCTCAAGGGGCGGAGCATAAGCTATACTTCTTTTAACACCGAACACACTTTAGCCTTGCCTGGTCCGTTTCCAGCAGAGCCAAGCTGTGCCTCGTTCGCATGGATGTTTAGGATTGTTAACATGCTCACTCTGAGACGGCATGAGATCGCTGAGCATCGCTGAGCTGCTGGTGATGCCGGAGGTAGATGTCCCAGTAATTGGTCGGATCGCATCCCAAGGCCTCGGCAGTGCACAGGAAGTTTCTTAAAACCAGGGCTCCACTGCATACACTCCCTACGACCTACAACCCCAAGCAAGGCACGTTGCACACGCCGTGCCAGTTCATCTGCAACTTCCGGATGGTCTCGTCCATTGAACTGTTCCTCGGTCGGGGATGCCGTTCGGAAGATCTCACATCTAAGCCGAGGCCTCTAAATCCCCATGTCAAACTCTGCCAAGGCCGTCCCAAACGCATGATGTGGGAGTCCAGCACCTGCATCTCGCAACTCGAGGGCTTTGTACTAAGCTTACTGACCCCGAACCGTGGGGAAAGCGTGCCTCCTCGGGGCATCTGGACTCCGGACTACAGGCCCTAATTTAAACCCCAAACCCCGCACTTCAAAACCCAAAGCTTTCAAGCCTTGCTACATCTGTGCCTCGTGGCTCGCACGCATGGCGCTGTGCAGCGCTGCAGACATCGCCACCGTTCCCGCCTGCCGGGATCTTGTGGCAGGATTTCAATGTAACCCTGCTAGTGTTTTCCGGAATAGCCCGGCGGTGGGTGCCCAACAAAAATGTAATTGAATAATACCTGACATATAACCCACGTTGAGCCCTCTACAATTTTTTGGTGGTGGGATCTCTGAAAGGCCTTCAATTCGAGAAGGGGGGCATGGGGCGCGGCAGCCAGGACTATGAGTCAGCGCTGATCGTACTGTTGTATGGGACGGCAAAAGGCATTTTACAGCCTATTCAGTGCCCCCTCCTCTCCTCCTCGAAGGACAAGCCAGGCCAGGACAGAGGATTATGATGCGTAAGCAATGAAGGACCAGAAAATCCCTCCGAGCAGCCTTTACCAGGATCTTGTAGGAGGCTTAAGACCGGTCATGCGGGGTCGAAGACCACCCAGGAGCCCCGACTCAAGAGACAATGATAACCCCAGACATGTTTGGGAGTACTGTCCGATGACCTAAGCGGGAGGGGCGGGAGGGGGGAGGGAGGGTGGGGAGGGGCTGGGGGGGGGGGTGAAACACTGAATGTTACACATCCAGGTGCCTGTCTGTTTCACGTATCACTTGCATGTATCCATGCCTGTTGCTCAAGGTTCTAGTGCAGTGGACTACAGCTGTGCGCCTGTAGCAAAAGAGACACCTGAGTGCCTGTGTTCCTGTACGCCTAGCGAGGGGATACACGTCCAGGTTACATCTCAACGTGGTAGCGGAGCTCCCGGGAAACGGGAAGCTTCACACTTGTGGAGGTACCCGTTCGGTACACTCTACACAGGTGGAGGCAACCGGAATACCTGGTGTGCTTCACTCAAGTGAAGGTAGCCGGAGTCTCTCCGGCACACTTCACACAGGTGAAGATAACCGGAAGAGTTTTCTCCCGGGGCTCGATCCAAGAACAGCGCAATGGCTAGCCACTCTGCGACTATCTTTGAGCATGATGGAGGAGATGAAGACTACCTCCTTCAAGGCAATGAATCTTACGCGACGAATCATCGTCATCTCAATGAACTACACCGTCTTTCAGCTTTCCAGCAGGTGACCACCAAAGTACCTCCATCTTATGATGGTAGAAGCAGTTGGTTTGCCTATGAAGATGCGATCGATGACTGGTGTGACATTACTGAGCTAGACAATGACAAGCGTGGACCAGCTTTGAGAAATCGGTTAGAAGGTGAAGCAGCAATCCACAAGAGGCTTCTCGACAGAGATCGCCTGAAGGACCCGAACAACGGAGTTAAGTACTTCAAGAGTTTCCTGCGGCCGCTCTTCGTGAAGGGAGCAGCGAATGTTTTTCTCTACCGCTTCCAGCAGTTCATGAACATGCACCGTGGGAACGGAGACATGCTTCGTTGGATTACCAGGTTTCAACTCTCTGTTCAGAGAATGCAAGAAGCGTGGAACGATACCTATCTGCCGATTGAGGATCCGAACAATGCAGAGGTCAGAGCTTTCATAGCAGGACTTCCTCCAGAAGAACAAGCAGATATTACGCCAGCTCAGGCAATGGATAGAGCCAACGAACGGCTCAGAGAGCAGCATGCTCGGACCATTCCGATCACGGCCAACCTTGTCGCCTTGATTTTTGTGTCCCTTTCTGATCTGACACAGGATCAGCGGCAGGTGTTGACATCACTGATGGCACATCGGAACCGGGTCTTAGCTGACTACAACACGACCGAGCTGCGTGAAGTCTACCTGGAGATCTTCTGCACGACCAAGACTACCGTCGACAACCCACTTCTCGCTCCTTCGGGCCACGGTGGCCGGAAGACGTTCCTTGTGATCGATGAAGGATTTCTTGACAATCATGAAGGCTACTGGGTCGAGGACGAGGAGGATGGCACGGAAGGTTTCCTCGAAGCGGATGAGGACGCCTTCTGGGTCTACGACGACGAGAACTACTCATGGTTCCAGCGGCGTTTCCAAGGCCGCAAGATGAAGCGCGGATTCAAAGGCCACCGCAAAGGCAAAGGAAAGGGTGGCAAAGGATCGAAAGGAAGGCGCTTCTTCAAAAGGAAGAAAGGCAGGTCTCATCTTGCCGAAGAATCAGAAGCATGGCAGGCAGAAGGACAGTGGCAAGATTACCAGTGGAACGATCAGTCCTGGGATGACTGGTCCTGGTACGAGTCTGAGGAATCCTATGCAGCCAAAGGAAAAGGTAAGAAAGGAAAGAAGGGCAAAGGAAAGAGCAAGTTTGGCAAAGATGGAAAGGATGGGAAGTCCGGAAAGGATGGACAGAGCCAGCTTGCTGATGCTGCCCCGAGCGGCACCACAGCCGCTACGACCTTCTTTGTTGAACATCTCAACACTCCGAACTTTTCTTTCATGGCCACCGAAGAGAAGATCAATGAGATCGAGGAAGCCTTCATCTCTCAGCCCTTGACGCCAACCGCGATGGTGTTGGACTTGGGATGTACGAGAGCAATGGCTTCGAGAGTGGCCGCACAGGACCTCATGGAGTTCTGTGACAAGAATCAGAACTGCGGCATATGGTACACCATTGCGGAGACCACTTCTCAGTTCACCTTTGCCAATTCCGAGTCGACAAAATGCAACCAGAAGTTGGTCATTTGCATGTACGACCGGGACTTTGCAGTTCAATCCACAGAGTTCGACATTGTGGAACAAGGGCATGTTCCCATTCTCATGTCCTTACCTCAGATGCGCAATCTTCGTTTCCAGTTCGAGCTCCATCCGGAAAAGGCCTTGCTCAGCAGCCCTGTGCTGGGAATCAAGGATGTGAGGCTGAAGGTTGCACCGAGCTCACATCTGGTACTTGACCTTCTTGAACTCAGTCAGTTAATGTGGAATGTGCGTTTCAGCAAGCATAAGAAGTCGAGCTTCCTCACCTACTTCTCCCACTATGAGTACGGCTTCCATCAGAAGACCGAGGGATGCTCTTCTCAGGAAGAGGTACCCAAGAACTTCGCCTTGGCGACGGATGATGAGTGGGTGATCAATGAAGCCGACATGGAGATGATTCGCATCCACAAGAAGATGAGAAGGGTCAAGTACGAACCCAAGGCGGGTTTTGTGCCAATTCCGTTGGAGTATCTGGACACCAAGCGCAAGACGATCATGGAGTTCTCCAAGGGAAAGAGCGTTACTCAAGAAGATGACTGGCGTTCTTCTGAGCCTTCTTCAACAAGAACCGCTGACTCTTGGAAAGGCAAGACCATTTTCAAGATTCTGCCTGGTGGCATCGAGAGTAGAACCTCGGTGCCTGCTAAGACCAGGGATCCAACCCGTGGGAAGGTAGGATCCCCAGAGGATATGGTTAGCACAGGTAAGCCTGAAGACAGCTCAAAGAACACAGGAGCATCCGGAAGCTTTCCTCAAGGAAAGGTACCGGAGAGAAGGAGAATCAGAGCCAAGGGAAGCTTTCCACAGGGAAAGGAACCCAAGGAATCGGCTCCTCCTCCTCTTGCTCCTGAGGATGATCCGGATCTTCAAGAGTACGAACCGTCCGAACCGGGGGATGCAGATTTGCTTCCTCCGAGGGCCCCAGAGCCACAGTCGCTAGAACCTAGGAGGATCGCGCCCAGGCCACGAGGTCTCAAGGGCTTCTCCGCAGTATCAGCGCATGTTGGAAAAGCTGAACAATGATGTTGAGCTTTACAAGTTGCATGTGAAGCAGTACCACATGAGTCCTGCTCAGTTTCGACGCAGGACAAGCATGCTTGGGCTGCCAGGAGAGATCTATGACAAGTACGACCGCATTGTCAAAGGCTGTCGTGTTTGCAGCACCTCCGTGCCTACGCCTCCGCGAGCCAGAATCGCAGGGTTGAGAGCATCATCCTTCGGTGATCTCATTTTTGTTGATCACGAAGAAATTAAGTTTGGTACCAAAGCCTATCTGTCTCTGGTTATCATTGATGGTGCTTCAAATCTTCTGTGGGCTACGGCTCTCACAAGCCTGGAAGCGCCAGAGACTCTGGGAGCGTTCCGACAATGGACAGAGGAGAACAACTGCGTTCCTAAGGGAATCGTAGGAGATCAAGCATTTTTCACGCCACAGTTTATGTCCTATTACAAGTTCCATGGCATTACTCCGTATCCATGTGGACCGCGAACTCCTTGGCCTAATCGAGCTGAGACCGCTGTGCGTCTTTTCAAGCGCACGTGGGCCATCATGGCGAAGGCCTTGGCCGATGAAGGTTATGCAGAAAAGGTGACTGTTCGTCAAGCAATCAAAAAGGTGGCATGGGCAAGGAATTGCCAGCTTACGGTCTCAGGCTATTCTCCTTTGGAGATAGCTACTGGAAGACGTCCACCAGACTTGTTTGACGTTGAGAACAGTTCTCCTGAACAGCTCTCTGCTGAACCTGCCGAGGAGGATCGAACCACTCTGGAACTCCAGAGGATTGCCATGCGGGCTCATCAAGAGGCTAGACAATCACTTGACCTTCGGAAGGACCTTGCACGGAGAGTATGCCGTCTGATGGTCCTTACTCGAAGGGTGACCGCGTGTTTGTTTGGCATAAGGATGAGTCGAAGAAGAAGTCTGAAGGAACCTGGGTCAGAGGCATAGTTGTGTCACAGGAAGGTGCCATGGTGTTGGTTGAAGTTCATCGTGCCGTTCTTCGGGTTAATCAGTCGAAGGTCAGGCGTGATGGAGATCCGTGGCATGATGTGGCCATTCCTC